GATTCAAAACAAAAGTTTAATATTGACATAAAAACAATAATACTTCAAGCATACTAATAAGGCAATCATGTCTTCTTAAAATAACATGGCTAAAGAAAGTTATCCCTATAAAATCATATAGTCTGGCTATGCTATGGCTACTAATAAGACAAAAAGAAGGAGATAGTATCACATCAACTAGGCATATCAACGGGCTACGCAGATTCCCATCAATAGATATCAATGTGAGTGAGTAGGTATTGCCATGCAACGGATGCACTAGAGCTCTGAGTTTATGAAAGCTCAAAAAGAAACTAAGTGGGTGTGCATCCAACTTGCTTGATCGTGAAGACCTAGGGCATTTGCGGATGCCCGTCGTTGGAATATACAAGCCAAGTTCTATAATGAAAAATTCCCACTAGTATACGAAAGTGACAACATAGGAGACTCTCTATCATGAATATCATGGTGCTACTTTGAAGCACAAGTGTGGAAAAAGGATAGTAACATTGCCCCTTCTCTCTTTTCTCTCATTTTTTTCTCTTTTTTGATTGGCTTCTTTGGCCTCTCCTTTTTTTTGATTTCCTCACATCTCACAATGTTCTAATAATGATGATCATCACACTTTTATTTACTTACAACTCAAGAATTATAACTTGATACTTAGAACAAAATATAACTCTATATGAATGCCTCCGGAGGTGTACCGAGATGTGCACTGACTGAAGAATGACATGTATGAAAATTTTGAACGGTGGCTTTGCCACGAATACTATGTCAACTACATGATCATGCAAAGCAATATTACAATGATGATGCGTGTCATAATAAACGCGACGGTGGAAAATTGCATGGCAATATATCTCAGAATGGCTATGGAAATGCCATAATAGGTAGGTATGGTGGCTGTTTTGAGGGTGGTATATGGTGGGTGTATGGTACCTGCGAAAGTTGCGCGGTACTAGAGAGGCTAGCAATGATGGAAGGGTGAGAGTGCTTATAATCTACGGACTCAACATTAGTCAAAAATAACTCATATACTTTATTGCAAAAATCTATTAGTCATCGAAACAAAGTACTACACGCATGCTCCTAGAGGGCTAGATTGGTAGGAAAAAACCATCGCTCGTCCCTGAATGTCACTCATTAGGAAGACAATCAATAAATAAATCATGCTCCAACTTCGTTACATAATGGTTCACCATACGTGCATGCTACGGGAATCACAAACCTCAACACATGTATTTTTCAAATTCAAAATTACTCCACTAGCATGACTCTAATATCATTATCCTCATATCTCAAAACAAGACATACATCAAGTGTTGTCAAATCCATAAGAGTATTCAATCCGATAATAGTGAAACCTCAAAGGTAAAACTCAATTCATCACAAGAAGGTAGAGAGGGAGAAACACCATATGATTCAACTATTGTAGCAAAGCTCGCGGTACATGAAGATCGTGCCAAATCAAGAACACGAGAGAGAGAGAGGGAGAGAGAGAGAGAGAGAGAGATCAAACAAATAGCTACTAGTACATACCTCAACCACGACGGTGAACTACTCCCTCCTCATCATGCAGAGCGCCAGGATAATGAAGATGGCCACCAGTGATGATTCCCCCCCTCCGGCAGGGTGCCGGAACAGGGCCCTGATTGGTTTTTGGTGGCTATAGAGGCTTGCGTCGGTGAAACTCCCGATCTAGGTTTATTTCTTGGGTTTTTTGTATTTATAGAAACTTTTGGCGTTGAGAACAAGTCAGGGGGGTCCACGAGGCGCCCACAAGACCGGAGGACGCGCCCTAGGGGGGCACCCTCCATCCTTGTGGTGGCCTCGTGACTCTTCTGGCCTAACTCTTTTGCTTCGGGGGCTTCTTCTAGTCCATAAAAAATCACTATAAATATTCAGGTCAATTGGACTCCGTTTGATATTCCTTTTCTGTAGAACTCAAAAACAAGAAAAAACAGAAACTGGCACTGGGCTCTAGGTTAATACGTTAGTCCCAAAAATCATATAAAATGGCATATAAATGGATATAAAACGTCTAAGATAGATAATATAATAGCATGAAACAATAAAAAATTATAGATACGTTGGAGACGTATCATAGAGTTCCGGCAGGGGTGTGGCGTTGCAGTGAGGGTGGTGGAGCAATGACGAAGGCAAGAAAGAAAGAAGGAGAGAAAATGGGAAGGATGGAGGTGTGGGTTCCGGAAAGGATCTTGGATGGGGGAGTGTCGGAGTCCTACGTGTGTGATGTCCTTACTCAAGCAGACCTCCCCCACATATGTCTTTGGTTTGCGGGAGAAAACACGTCCGCACCATCCTGCGAACCAATATAGACCTACGTTAGATGGCTTCCATAGTCTGGAGGATGTAGACGCTTTGTAGGTTGGCCTTGGAGATGCCCTATCCTGACAGATAATGGTTCGGCTCCCATATCATCATATTGCTCATGCTGCGTCCATGCTTCCTCATATCTGAAATCAAAAGCTTTATTCCTTTCATTAGTAGCATGTGCCGCTGAGACATGGATTAACAACGCATCATGGTTTGATTCTTCGTTAATGATGTGTTCAATGGAAGTCTCATGGAACAAGCTCATGAACTCATCGTTGCACGTTGCACGGTCCAAGCCACCTGAGTAGTCTCTTCCCTATCTCTCTTGTTATCCCGTGTAAATGAATAACCTGAGAAGCTGAGATCCACAAGGCTGCTGTCAGCCAAGCACTCTCGAAAATCTTCCATTTTCATGAACAATCTCGGGTTCCCTCCTTTTCGCTCTGTTTGGAAAAAAATCTCCTTAGAGTCGCATGCACTCAACCATGGTAGATTATCTTGTCTCCTCAGGTACTGGATATCATCCCCCGTTTTGGGCATCTACTCAGTCCAAGGTTCCTTGTAGATTCCAGTGAATCTCCATGAGTTGCCCTCAAATGAATTCTCAACATCCAAGTAGAACTAACACCATGGCCTCAAAGTTACTTGCACATTATCTCTCCACCACATAGCTAATCCACCACTCTGACCCACAATATCTATAGTTGCACCTTGTCTAAAATCCATACTCCATCTCAACCTTTCCATTACTCTGGACCGTTTCTTTGTCAGACTCTAAAACACCACCGTTGGGTTGTAAGACCATATCAGGTCCCTAAGTTCGTTAACTATCATGTCCGACCCCAGTCCCCGACAGTTCCAGGCAAGGACATTCATTGCTCTCGGCGGCCCTCACCACAAGGTCTGCTGCTTCATTGTCCTTTTCTGAGATACATTCAAAGACCAACATTTTCTGTCATTTACCGCCAATGAATGCGTCATGATGAATCTGCCTATCTAGATCACCTTTGGCCACCAACAGCTATTTCGGGCCCCTCTTTCTCTTTGTGTGAGTTGGTGGGTGGGTAGCCCTCTGCATAGCCCTCTCTAAAGCATGATGATTCAGAGGGCGCGGCAAGAAGACCTTCCCTACTGTCGCCCATCTGGTGACCTTGAGCATAGTTGGACTAGGGTTTACAAAAAGACGAACCCCATCTCCTCCCATCCTTGCCGAGAGCGCATCTGCCTCCTCTGACGCTTTCACATTCACCGAAGATTGAGATAACCACTTGCTTGTGCTAGCGCCGGTTGTTTTTGCGGGAGTACTACCCTTCAGAGACGCCATAGCAGCACAGCCAAGACGCTCAAACACCGAATCCGGCCGAGGAGAGAGGAGAAAGCAGTTGCTTCCCTCACGTCGTCGGCGCCACCCTTCCAGTCGCGAACGCGATCGCCTCCTGTATGATCAGGGTTTTGTGTGGTTGGAGCCTCACGACTCATGATGTCCTTTTTTGTGCATGTTCTCTTACTCTGCGTATGAGATTAGGGTCAAGTCAAACTCTACTAAGTTTGACCAAATTTATATTAAAACATATAAACATCTACAATACCAAATATATATGGTATGAAACTACATTTCCTAATGAATCTAGCAATATTAATTTGGTATTGTGAATGTTAATATTTTTTTCTATAACTTTGGTCAAAGTAGAGATACTTTAACTCTGGACAAAACTTACATATAGACTAAAAAGGACCGGAGAGTTGAAATACTTTTTTCTTTAACCTTTTTCTATGTATAGGGCTGCAGTTTAGTCTGTGCGAGGTGAAATACCGACGGGGCGACTTAGGATGGTTGGAAAGGAACGAACGACGGACTTTCCACACACACACACA